ATATATATATATATGGTCATGGGACATGGAGTATAGTGTGGGAGTGGAGTCAAGGGAATTGTAATAGATATGTATGATATTGGGGAGTGGGGGGACAGATTGGGGGAGGGGGTTGTCACTTTGAGGGGTAAAAAGTGTAACTATTGCACTGTGTTGTATAGCTGAAACTAATTTTAAAATGTTTATTTCACAATAAAAATATGTTTATGTTTAAAATAAATAAAATAAAATAAAATAAAATTATGGTAAAATACACATAACAGAATTTACCATCTTATCCATTTTTAAGCGTATGTGCAGTATGTAAAGTATATTCACATTGTTGCACACCAATACTCCAGGAACCTTTTCATCTTGCAAAACTGAAACTCTCTAGCCATTAAACAACTCCCTCTTTTTCCCTCAAGCCACTGGTAACTACCATTCTATTTTGTCTCTTTAGGAATATGACTACTTTAGATACCTCATATAAGTAAGTGGACAGGACTTTAAAAAGCCTGCTGGTGGCTGAAAATGCCTTGGCCAGCACCTCTCCTGCAAGATTTGCAAGGGCATAATTAGAACCTTCTGTCCCTAAAATTCTCCCCAGCCTATTGGCAAAATTTCTACCACCTGGACTTCACTTTGTGGCTTAAGGTTTTGAACCTTGTTAAAAATCAAACTGCATCAAAAGGTGTGGCCTTTGGAACAGGTTTGGCCCAGGCAGTTAAGCGCGTTTGTGAGCGGGATCCTGACTCATCAGAAAACCTCCAGGGTCCCCGTAGCTGGCCAGGAGGCAAGGCGGGAAGGGAAGACTCTGCTGGGCCCCGCCCCGGCTAAGAAGCCCCGCCCCATCGGAAGGCCCGGCCCTGCCCCGCCGTTTCTAAGCGAGCCCTCCTTTCTCCGAGGGGTATATTTGCCAAAGGCGTTGGGAGCAGGCAGCATGGGCGCCGGGCCGGAGCTGGGGGCCGCGGCGGGTGGCTCGCTGCTGCTGTGCGCCTCGCTGCTGGGCGCGGGCTGTGCGCTGGGCCTGAGCCTGGGCCGCGGGCGGGGGGCGGCAGACCGCGGTGCGCTCGCCTGGCTCTGCTACGACGCCCTGGTGCACTTCGTACTGGTAAGTGCTGTCGCCTCAGACCCCGAAAACGCGGGCGGATGGCGCCTCTCTTGGGACCCTTCCTTCCCACATCCCAGGGAGTGTCCTGAAAAGGACGGAGGAGTGGGACGAGAAGTCTGCGGAGACCCGGGAAATATAGGGAGGCCGCGGTGCTCGTGGCCTTTGGTCAGCTACTGCACCTCTCCGAGTTCCCAAGTCTGTAAATAGAGAGCGCAGCTACTTTAGTGGTGCCAATCCCTTTACAAAAACAAAAACCCTGCAGATAGTGATTTCTGTACTGCGTTATGTTAGTTTGATTGTAAGCTACTTCACTTTAGCTTACTTGGCTTTGAAACCTGCACGTTAATGTTGAACTGAAGATAATTGAGAGAGCGATTTTGAGTGCCCCACAGGGAGCAGGGAGAGGTGACGACGGGGCGCGCTGCGCAAATGCCAAGGGCCTGTACCAAAACAGAAAACCTAGCGTGCCTTAATCGTAATCGCCATTTATTGGGTGATGACTGTGTGACAGGCACAGTACTGTGTTTAAAATTTCAAATCTTTATAACACCCCATAAGCTAGTTATTGTCCTCATTTTATAGAGGGGGACAGATCCTGCAACGTTAGGTGACTTTACAATGCCACACAGCGGAGAGATTCTGAGTTAGTCTGACTCCAAAGCTTGCACTCTGTATCACGCCAGGCTTTAGGAAACGTGTCCCTAAAATTTCAATCCACTTTATAAATGGCCACAAGGGTTGTAGTTGAGGGAATTCTACTGAAATACCCCTACTCCATGCACACAACTTTTTCTTAAAGTTATTTTTAACTATGCCAAAACATCTTTATTGCTAATTTGACCATAACCTGTGGCTTATGTGAAGCCAATGTCTTTACTATTGAGAGAGAAAGCAAAGTTTTCAATAATCATCTAGGTCTATGTTTGTCAGTTGGTTATCTGCACATTCCAGATGTTACTGCAATGATGAAATTCCTTCTTTCCTAACAGCCAACATGTGGAGATAAGAGACAGTGATTATTTCTCTCATCCCCTTTATTTATAGAATTGAGTTTTAAGCTATTGTCGGACACAAGGTCTCCCAAAGAACAGGGGCAGTAAAACAGGTTTCTAGGCCTGCCTAAAGAAGAATGTATTGTAACATATTTTAGGTATTAAAATACTAAAAGGTATTAAAATACTAAAACCTATACCCATATGTCTACCACCTAGTTTAAAATTAAGTCTACTTTTCAAGCACAGACTGTTACAGGTTACACTACACACCTCTCTACTTGTGGCACCTTGAGGTGTAGCCAGGTGTGTGGCATCATTGCTCCGCTCTCCCCCATCCCTGTACTGAGGGAAATGTCCTCTACCCAGACCCATCTTGTGCCATTCACCTGTCTTAGCCACAGAATGTTCCACTTTATGATGCACCATGCCTTTATTCTTTAATTCTAAAATGTACATTTTTTTCACATATTAAAACAATGACATAACCACTATGGGCCATTTTATTGATATTTTATGTCTCTAAAATTGGTGTGTATCTTACAATTGATGATGAAATATGATAATTTAATTAGCCCATTTTAATGTGTTAATTTTAATGTTTTTATTTAGCCCTTTACATACAGTGCTTCAACCATCGTCTTTGTACACATGTCTTGAGATTGGTGAGGAGGGTACTTGATTAAGCCGTTGAGGCCTGCAAGAAAAATGCAAGCCCATATTATCTTTTGGTTGGGAGTTTATCACAAGAAGACCCAGAGATGTGGCCTGAGCTAAGACTGGGATGTAAAGTCTGCGGAGACCCGGGAAGTATAGGAAGGCCGCGGTGCTCGTGGCCTTTTGCCAGATACTGCACCTCGCCGAGTTCCCAAGTCTGTAAAAAGAGAGCGCAGCATCTTTAGTGATGCCAATCCCTTTATAAAAAAAAACCAAAAAAAATAAACCCCTGATGATAGTGATTCCTGTACCATGTTATATTAGTTTGATTTTAAGCTACTCAAAGGCCTTTGGTAGAACTGAAACCACAATTCACTTGTTCATACTAGAACCTGGGCTGCCTCTCCTCACCCCTGTAAACTTCACTTCTCAAATGGGAGGAGATGTTGGGACTGTTGGCCACCATCAAATGCAGAGCTCCCATGTTGGACGAGTTCAGCTCCCTGATGTCCAAGCAGAATGTGGTTACCTGGGGCTGCAGGTCAGTTGGTTAAGGCCTAGGGCAGAGGGCCTACCAGTGTACCTGGTAGGAGCCATGACAACAAACAAAGAAATCAGTGGTGTGGCTTACAGGCCCTCAAAGGTTGCTATGGGCATTTCTATGTTGCTATGCACTGGTGCTTCATGGGCTTTTCCTCACCTGTGATCTGGAGATAGCATTCTAGGCATGGCCAGAGCACAGAGGCAGATGTGTCTTCCTATGTTTGAGAAACATCTTAAAGTCCAGATTGACTAGTTTACCTAGGGAATAAGAGGGGGTGGGGGGCAGTCTGGTAAGGGAGCTGAAATGGCAGGTAAGACTGAGTTTTATTTTGTAGTAGGAAGCCATTGAAGAATTTCAGGCAAGGAAGTAGCATGGCCGAAGCAGATCTTTTGAAAGATAATTTGGTGGTGGTGTATTAAGTCAGAAATGGTGAAGGGTCTGAGATTTTACCCTTCTTACCAGTGAGCAAGTTAGCCTGGTTGATTCCCCAAGTCCCACAGGGCAATGCAGTTAGGGCCAGATGGTATCTGCATATGCAATGGGTGCATTACGGGAGAGGTACCCCCAAATTAGGCTCCTATCTTATATGGCTGCTGGTGACCTGCTCACACTTCTCTCTGGAGAGAGACCTTATCTTTTCTCAGGAATGTAAACAGATCTCTGGGGAGGAAAGGGCAAGGTCTTTACCTTTGTTACCCTGGAACATCTTAGGAGGGAGTGGTCTCTCAGCTTGATTAACCTGGAATGTCACCTCATATAAATACTCTTAAGTTGGTGTAAATGCCTGTGCCCAGAGACCCCAGACAGTGCAGGAATAGGGGATATTCATGGAGAATTCTCTCCCAATATGGTGCAGGGTGGATTGGAAAGGATCGTTAAAAGGGGCAAGGAGATCAGCTAAAAGCTGAAGTCAGATGAAAAAGAGCTGAGCGAAGGTGATGGGGCAAGTTGAAATGGGGGGAAAGCGAAGTACAAGAGTCTTTCCAGGGGAGACTTACATAAGTCACAGGGACTGCTTATACATTGGGGATGGAGATGATCTTGGGGTTTAGAATCTGGCTGATGTGAGTCATGTTGATAATGTTAACAAAGACAGGAAAGTCACATTTTAGATTTAATCACCCCTTTGAACCTGAAGAGCTGATGTGTAGTTGAGGGGAAATGGCCAGAAGACAAATGAAAATGCAAGACAAGCTGGAGAGACAGAGTTAAGGCAGAACCAAGAGAGTTCTCATGCTACAAGAGAGTTGGAAGTTCTTTACGGCATTGAAGGAGACGGCAGGAAGCCCCTGGAGTGAGTGATTTTTCTGAGCAAGAAAACAGAAAGGTGAAAAGGCTGAGGAATGAGAGCAGAATCTTTCAAAATGTCGATATTGAAGTAGAAGAGCCAGGAACAAGAAAAAGTGGGCAAGACCAAGAATCAGGGTAGTGCTGGGTCCTGGGACCCAAGGAAGAGACTTTCAAGATCACTAGTAGTTGCTGCAGCACCATTTAAAAAATAAAAAAACAAGTGAGGGCTGAGCCAGAGCCTTTGGGTCCAGCAATTAGAAAGGCCTTGGTAAGAGTGGTATTGTTTGAATGGAGCCACCAGAAGGTTAAGGCGAGGGCTTAGCAGGTGGGGTGAAGAGGAAGCAGAGGCAGCATATGCAAGACCTTCAAGAGTTTGGGTGGTGGGAGGAAGAAAGTATAGGAAGGTAGCTCAAGAGACATCGCAGGGGCAGGCAAGAGACATTGGGTTCTGTTTAAGATGGGAAGGTCTGAGTGTGTTTGTGGGCAAGAGGATGAAGGAAAGAGTGAAGATGCAGAGAAGCGTGCTGTGTGGCATTGGCTAGTCCGGTGCTGCACCTGGCCACGGGAATCAACCTCTGGCAGAGCAGAATCTGCCTGAATCTACCACTTGCCCTCTGATCAAAACCCTCTGACGAGTCACTCCCACACTTTCGTAGCTGTGGAGTGTAACTTAGGCTTGTTCTTCAGGGTGAAGGACAGTTGTCATGGAAAACCTGGATTTCCGTTGTCCATCATTTATGTCTACCTTAATACCCATGGGGAGTCCTTCTTTAAGAAATCCTGGAGCCCAGCGGCTGCTTACGTCCCCATTAATCTGTGTATTTTGGACATTACCCTTTTCCATTCAACATTACCATCTGTTCCTCAACTTCCACTGCAATAACTTCAGCCTCGGATCTTGGGACTTGCTAAAAATTTCTTCCTCCTACTACTTGCTTTATTATTAGGTCTGAAGTTGCCTCTTAATTCACAGTCTGTTACTGTCTCCTATTTTTCCTTTCCTTTCTTGGCATTGTCATCTTTGTCAGTTTTGTTCTGATATAGATATTCTCTCTGGTAAATGAATTTATAGTTCTCCTGCAATTTGGCATACTGGGTGACTCACAGTTGGTTCAGCTGTGCATTAATGGCAAAGTGTTGTGATGGTTAATTTGGTGTGTCAACTTGACTGGGCCATGGGATGCCCAGATATTTGGTCAAACATTATTGTGGGTGTTTCTGTGAGGGTGAGATTAACATTTAAATTGGTAGATTGAGTAAAGCAGATTGCTCACCCTAATGTGGGTGGGCCGTATCCAGTCAGTCGAAGGCCTGAGTAGAACTAAAGGCTGACCTTCTCTTGAGTAGGCAAGAATTCCTCCTGCCTGACTACCTTCCAACTAGGACACCGGCTTTTTCGTGTGTTCAGACCTGAACTGAAACCAGGGCTTTTCCTGAGAGTCTCAAGCCTGCCAGCCTTTAGACTGGGTCTACTGCATTGGTTCTCCCGGTTCTCAGGCCTCCGCACTCAGACTAGA